TTTTTCAAATTTTTTTTCTTTAATTTGCTCGGGCCGAGCACTTTTGTCATGGGCCATTTTTGGCCCGTGACACGAGCCGGCCTCTTATTTTGAGGCTCGGCCCGAGCCTAGGCTCGATCCCTACGAGCCACGAGCCGGGCGGGCTAGGGTTTTTCCCTAGCCGAGCCACGAGCCGCCCGAGCCACCGAGCCTTTTTGACACCCCTAAAATAAGGTAACTAGCCTGTGGCCATGGTGGCCGTCCATGACCGGGGGTATCCGGGGTGGTGTGGCACGTGCTCGAGCAAGATTAGCCACTATAAATTCTGGTTGTGACTTTGGGAAATTCCTAGGAGTGTAAGCGGTCAGATTTTATCAATTTTTGATAAATTTTCAAATCAGACCATTTAAATTGGTTTGTGAAAAGCTCAAACCTAAACTAAACCATTTTGAACGGTTTGAAAAAAAAAAACTCAAACATAAACCTAATGGTTTGGTCCGATTTTGCCACATATTTTTTTTTGTCTGTCTACTTTTATGTCATAAATTTATTAAATTCAATATATATTTATATCTTACTAGTAATAAATCTAAAACAAACTAAGTTCCCGTTTGAACCAAAATTTTGGGACAAAAAAATAAAAATTTAGACCGTCATCCCACAAGTCCAGCCCCTTTTTTAACTTGCTATTTCATGTGGGGGACCCAGTCTCCTCTCCAACGGTCAATTTTCTCATTATGATTATATGAAAAATATGACTCAAACAGGGCTTAATATATCTATCATAAATTTAAATACCAACTAAATCAAAGTAAATCACAATAAACTAAAGCATAGTTTTTTCTTTTTTGTTCACATTTTTTAGGCTAATGATGATACAATAACATTACAATACAAGTCTACTAAACTAGATATAACGCCCAAAAAACATAATGGTATCCAACAAGATCTCATGATCATCATATCTGAAAAAAAGATACTGATTAGACAAAGAGAATAACGAACCACAATAATAAAGTAATTATTTATAATAGATAAACATAACAATTACACAAGTTTACATTTGTATGATGTTACGAAACACATTTATTTTAGATTCTTACTTTAGTTTGCTTCAAAAAATTATTGATCTGAAACTTTATTCGTAGCAAATATTATTATCGAAGGTCTAGGATCTCTTTGTCCCCGATTTGGTATAATGGACTTCAATTCAACTTTGAAGAGGCGTGAAAAATCTGGAAAAAAAAGTGTATTGTGCCGATGGCTCAAGACTATGTTGGGTGTCAGCCAGAGTTCATTTAAATTCTGAAGAGAAAAATAACTTTTGATAAATTATGTTAGTCTTGAGATTATTAGATATAAATTATGATTATTAGATAATATTAATATATCTGTATTAGAAAATTAGAAATTAACAAAAATACTCACAAATGAAAAAACTATTGAATTTTATATATTTGGATGAATTTTCAAAAAAATTCACTTTTTCATTTTTTTTTATGCATTTTTTCGCCGATTCGGTTTTTTTTTAAACCGCAATTAAAATTCTCGAACCTAAACTAAATCGTTTTGACCGATTTGGTTTGATTCATAACCATTTCGTTGACTGGGTCTACGTGGCACCAAAACGACGATTTCTAAAATGCGATTTTGATTCGATTTGACGATTTTTGCTTACAACCCTAAAAATTCCTATTTATCCATTGGCATAATTTCTCATTAGGCAACGGTGAGCTTTGTTAAAGAGGGGATACATAAATGGTCCTTATGGTTACGTGCTAAGGTTTGAATGATTAAGAGCTCGTTTGGCATGGTTTTTGAAAAGCCAAAAAGAGATTTTGAGGTTCAAAAGTTATTTTTGGACCTGTTTGGCAAATTTTGTTAAAGTACTTTTGGTAGTTAGAAGAATTTTTAGAGGAAGCTGATTCAATATAGCTTCTTCCAAAAACACTTCCGGAATAGAAAATGCTTTTAAATATTAGTTTTCAAACAAAAATTAAAATAGCTTCCTCCAAAATCTCTTCTACAAGAAACAAAAGTTATACCAAACGGGCCCTAAATATCGAGTTAGTTAGACATTTGTGATTCAATACTCTTTTAAGTGCCAGCTTTTGGGCCAATACATTCTCAATAACTAGCTCGTGTAACAATGTTGCCCCTAAATGATCAGGGTTACATGACATCCATGATTACATTGATTAACAGTATTTGGTATTAAGAACCTTTAAAAAATGTGCAATTAAATTAACTAGACAAACTTTTCTCAATTATGAGTTTTGCACGAATAAAACAGAGAAAACACTTGGCAGTAGATGAAATCCATTCTATACTTCTTGTTCTTTTCTAGCTCCGTTGGATCAATTAAGTATTTTTCTGATGATGCGGTGCTATTGCTTCATGCATAGTCATCCTTTCTGTGGGGATATATATTTTCCTCAGTCATTGGAGGAGCCTTGGTCGACAAATATGGAGGAAAACGTGTTATTGCGTGGGGTGCAGCTCTCTGGTCTCTGGCCACTCTCCTTACTCCATGGGCTGCAAATCACTCCACAGGCAGCCTATTGGCTGTCCGTGCTTTTTTTGGACTAGCCGAAGGTGTTGCTCTACCTTCGATGAACACCCTTTTATCAAGGTAATATTTCTTAACTGTTAACTTTACTTAGACTGGATTTCTGGCCATTCCATTGGTTTAAGAAGAAAAAGAGCTTTTTCTCTTTGATTTCCCATTATCCAAGTCCAACTCCATGGATCATTTGGAACTCCAATAACGGCAACTATATAAGAAACTTTTTGGTTAACTGAGCCACTGTTTGACAAAATTTTCTTGAAAAGAACGTGTTTCTGAATAGTAAATTTATGGAAAATGTGTGATTAAACTGTACGAAAAAGTTTTGGGTTTACGTGAAGAATATTTTATTGTGAGAATGTGTTGTTTAAAATGGGTACGAGAAGAAAAGAATTTTGAAAGAATGGTGCTGAGATAGATAGAAGGGTGAATTTGTGCTCAATGTTGAAAATGTATTAACAGTACGTCTACCTTATATTAGGTGGTTTCCAAGCCATGAAAGAGCTACTGCTGTTGGAATAGCTATGGGCGGATTCCATCTTGGAAATGTTGTGGGATTAATCTTAACTCCTCTCCTAATGTCATCAATTGGAATTTCTGGCCCTTTCATTCTCTTTTCATCTCTTGGATTTCTCTGGTTAACAACATGGTCATATCGAGTGACGGATGACCCAATAGAGAGCAATTCTGTAAGTAAATCAGAGTTGCGTTTAATCCAAGCTGGGAAATCTGACTCTCAAGTCATCAAGGGAAAGCTTCCACCTTTACGCCTTCTCTTATCAAAATTGCCCTCGTGGGCAATTATCTTCGCTAATATCACGAACAACTGGGTTAGGTTTCTTGCTCACTTTTGATTTTCAAATTCTCAAATTAAGTAAATTTTAGCTCTCTTGCTATTGATTATTGTTTTCTAATTGAACTATGAATACTAAGTGTGTTCTTAAATGCAGGGATACTTTGTTCTTCTATCATGGATGCCTGTTTATTTTAAAACTGTGAGTTGATTTGCCTATATATTCATTCCAATTCCCATCATTGTGGTTAGCACTTTCCATATACTGACTAATGAAAAGCAAGAAAAAGAACTTGCACGTTGAAAAATTTGAAGAAAATAAAATTTTATAACATTTATACTGCTCATTAAAATGTTCTCTCCTGATGTGTTAGGTATTCGATATAAAATTGAAGCAAGCAGCTTGGTTCAGTGCACTTCCATGGGGAACAATGGCAATCTCAGGCTACATTGCAGGGGCAACGTCTGATTACTTGATCAAATCAGGGTACTCCATAACGTCAGCAAGGAAAATTATGCAGGTATATTTTGTTTTGGGATCTCATTACACTTGTTGATGAATAAGAATTCCTAATCCTCGAGAATCAGGACAATCTAGTAAAACAAAACTCTCGTTCCTTTTAGACTGGTATCACATTATACTCGGCAAAGTTGTTAGTAGTAGTTACCATAGTGTAATGGAACAGAGAAATATTTTAGCACGAGACATCATCAAGAATATAATGCTCAATCACGCGAGACAGCATGACTAATTACAAGTTCAAAATGTACAATCAAATCTCAGAATGCAAAAAATCATAAATCTTGGATTCAAACCTTCTGACTTACCCTTTTTTCTGCAGTAATCCAAAAGAAGAGTAGATAAAGGAAATGATGGGCTGGATTTTTTTTTTTTCTGAAGTAGAAATCATCATGGCTGTAGTAAATATAAATTCATACTAACAAATATATATACCATTAGTCGATACAATCAGCATTCTAACATCTGCTTTGTTATATGACAGTCAATAGGTTTCATTGGCCCGGGGGTGGCACTGCTCTGTTTGAACTATGCTAGAACGCCAGTAGTTGCATCTATTTTCCTTACAGTTGCCCTGAGTTTGAGTTCTTTCAGCCAAGCTGGCTTTTTACTGAATATGCAAGTAAGTTTGTATGCCTAGTAATATTCCCTTATTCGGCAACAAATAGCAGAATGCGTGCCCATATTAATTTATGTGTTTTGATTATTGGATCAGGATATTGCACCACAGTATGCAGGTTTTCTTCATGGTATGTTCTGAAATCCACTCCAGAGACGTCGTCTTGTTTTTCTTGTAATTCTCTAATGATGTTTCTATCGGAAAACAGGGATTTCAAATTCTGCTGGGACATTGGCAGCAATAATCAGCACGATTGGGACAGGATTCTTCGTGCAGTGGCTAGGATCTTTTCAAGCATTCTTAACTCTCACATCATGTCTCTACTTCACCGCAACTGTTTTTTGGAATATCTATGCCACCGGAGAGAGAGTATTCTAGACAGCAATGAATCCATGAGTATTCAAATGTGTAATCTAACTTTAAAGAGTAATAGTTTTGCACCACATTTTGAAGAAGGGTAAATCCAACGTATCAAGAATAAAAGGATAAATAGGAGATAAGAGGGATATAAATCGTAGGGAAATCCGGCGGACGAGTTTGATCTTAATCGTGTACAGCTTAACACAATCGTATAATTGTTTGATCAGATAGATGAAATACTTGTTGACATCCTCTTTTCTTCTCTATTTTTTTTTTTTTTCCTCAGTCTGATTCTTCTTAAGCTCATTAGTAGTTGGCTACTATTACTAGGCTGTGTTTACCTTTGAGAAGTCGGCAAAAAAAAATATGAATAATTCTATATCGTGATCTTCACCGGCCTAAGAGAATTGAGGTCTTGATTCATTGTTCAATGAAGAATTCAATTTGTAGTATGGAATAGTTGTTTTTTTGTGATCATTGTGTTGATTTGGCTTTTTACGTCTAGTAAATCTATAAATAGTGGAGTCTACTTTTCTTTCACAAGTTGAAATATACTATATTAATTTTAATAAAACAGAAAGAGAATATGAAGTCTTGTTTGTTATACTCTGAAGCCATGTTCAATATTATGTATGAAATGTCTAAAGTAAAAATTCACCAACATCAATTTATAGTTGAAATTCTATCTTGATACGACAACACACGAGTTTTGTTGTCTTATACTCTGAAGCCATGTTCAATATTATGTATGAAATGTCTAAAGTAAAAATTCACCAACATCAATTTATAGTTGAAATTCTATCTTGATACGACAACACACGAGTTTTGTTGTCTTATACTTGTACTAACCTTTTCAAGATTTGCTTTTCCATACATGTTTTTACACTCCGTCTACAATGGGTAAAAACGGTCCACTTGACAGCTAATTTAATTAATGTAGAAAATTTGATAAAAATTGTGAACTCCATTAAACGTATGGTTAAAAATGAAACTAAGAGAAGATAAATTTTAAGAAATAGGGAGATAATTAAATAAATAATAACAATAATAATCAATCAGTCACCCATATATTGTCGCCAAAAGAATAGCACTATCTTCAAACAAATAAGTTACTCATCCCTCATGCCAAACACGCCCTAACGTCAGCCTCGTATTAATACTTAATTGCCAAATTGACAGGTCGTCTTCATCATTTCATTTTGTCCCAAAATTTACAAATAAACAACAAAATTTCCCGAATTGAAAAAGTCGACTCTCAGCAGTCAGCACAATGTTCTCAGATCAGAATTTCTTCAACTACAGCCTTCTATCTCTCTATCTAATTACACCACCTACAATAATCTCCCTCCTGTTTCTCACCGCTCCTTATGGCAAGCACCACCGCCCCGGCTGGGGCCCCACTATCCCGCCACCCTTGGCCTGGTTTCTCATGGAGAGCCCCACCATCTGGCTCACTTTTCTCATATTCCCTTATGGCAACAACTACCACAACTTCCGTGCCAAGATTCTCATGTCTCCGTTCCTTCTCCACTACTGTCATCGCACCATCATCTACCCGATCAGGCTCTTCTTCAGCACCCATCGCCGGAAACCCAATACAGAATCTCCCTCGGTACGGAAATCCGCCGCCGGTTTCCCGGTGAGCGTGGCCCTGATGGCGTTTGGCTTCAATCTATTGAATGGTTACTTGCAATCTAGATGGGTCTCTCAATATGCAGATCTTGAAGGCGACGAGTGGTTCTGGTGGCGATTTGCGGGCGGATTGGTGGTTTTCTTGAGCGGTATGTATGCAAATTTGTGGTCGGATAATATGTTAATGGGCCTGAAGAAAGAGGGAGGTGGGTACACGATACCTAAAGGAGGCCTTTTTGAGTTGGTGAGTTGTCCCAATTATTTTGGGGAGATTTTGGAGTGGTTGGGCTGGGCCTTAATGACTTGGTCTTGGGCCGGGTTTGGGTTTTTCATTTATACTTGTGCCAATTTGGTGCCCCGTGCTGGAGCAAATCATAAGTGGTACTTGGACAAGTTCGGGGAGGATTATCCCAAGAACAGAAAAGCTGTTATTCCATTTGTATTCTGAGATTGTGCAGTTGAGCTCTGCTCTACGAGAAAACTATAAGAATATATGACTATTTCCACATCACCAGTTCAAACTAATTACAATTTTTTGTTTTTTTGGTTGATGTAACCACCTAAAAAATAACAAGCATTTATCTACTAGAAAAATATTATTTTAGGATAGATTTCACAAACATTTGATGTGATTATACGTTAAAAACGATTATATTTGGTGCAAAATGGATTGTTGCAAATGTTGATGTTAGGACGAGAGATAAAAGCTAGAAAGCTGCTTGGTGTACAAGTCCGACATCTCACATGGAGGGATGGATGGGTTAATTTTTAACCATTTTTTATTCAGATTGGCCCATATGTTTGTGAGTTATCTAGTTGGGTTCACTCTGTACATGATGATTTTTTCTAAAAGCTAAGATCCTAAAGTTAATGATTCCCACGAAAAGTTGATGTGAGGATGAGAGAGTTGAAAGCTAATGAAAGAATCTTATTTGCTGAGCACGTGGTTAATACATAGTTAAATTTTTAAATAATGCTATATAACCGTCACTGGGGTTAAAAACTCAGTTTAAGTGACACTAGATGATAGATTGAATGAAAAGTCAAATTAAATGATTTATTTAATTTTATCTATCATTTAATGTCATATTAACGTCACCTGAATTGAAGTTGTAACCCAGTGAAGTTAAATAGCGTTATTCTAAATTTTTAATCTATTAATTTTTGGTTTTTAATTGATAATTATTAAAGCAAACCGGTAAAATCGTGACTGATTTATTGACTTTTGGCTTAACCGGCCAGATCACTGATTATTTTATCAATTTTTTACGAAACGATATATGATCAGACCAGGTTTTGGTCCGTTTCCTACTTTTCCCGTTTGAACCAACCTGGTGCAATCTGATTTTAATAACAAGGGAGACTGTCTCTGCTGACACAGTCGACCAACAATGTCAAATATATGATTTTGCCTTCGGGTAAATTACCCGTGCAAAATCATAAAAAAATAAATAATAAAAATTAAAAATTACTGTTTGATCAATGATTGTTTTTGATTGTCAATTTTGCTACATCTACATTAAGTTTGACAGTTTGGTTAACATTATTTGATGTGGCAGGCTTAATTGCCATTGATGTTAACAATAATCATTCAAATCAATAGCCAGATTTCTTACACATTGGGGATGCGAAACTCAATAAACAAAAACAATAGTTTTATTCAAACTGCATTGCCTCTTTACTCGTAGCTCTCATGCCTCCAAAGAAGCACAGCCACTCAAAATATTCCAGATTTTTAACAATAAACTCTTTAGTCATTCTTGGAACTCAATTAATTAATTTATACAAATATATGTTCCTTTATCTGCTGGGAAATAAAAAAGGCAATTTACGAAACTCCAAAGCAACATAAAATTAAAAACATAAAGCTAAACAATGTAAAGTTTAAAGGTTTAGTCCAGGAAGGAAAATGAAGCAGAAAAAATCATATCTTACAAGCCACCATCTATGTTTTTGCGAATTCAAAACCTCAGGGACTCCTGAAGATGCTGGTACTCAGTACTGGAGAAAAACTGCAGGTTGAAAAAAGCTCCATCCAGCATGCTGGGCAGTTTCAACTGATTTATCCATGGCCATCCTGTGAACAATGATTCGTCACCAAATCATACTCAACAAAGACAGAGAAACGATAAAATTTTTATGCGCTTACATTCAGACAAAGCTGCGGTTTGCTTCTGAATTGACTTTTACTGGCGATCCATCGTGCTTCAACTGGTCATCTAGATTTTGTTGAACCAAACTTCCATCTGATCCTACAGAAGATTTGGTGGCTTCAAGAATCTGGGACTGCAGCTTCTCATACTTCTCTTTCAGTTCAGGGGAACTTGCAGCCTCGACAACAGCCTGCTTGATTTCTGCCTCCAAAGCCTGAATCTTGCTTTTTGACTCTGCATCTGGTGTATTTCCAGCATTTGCCACTTCCATCTTCAGCAGATCAATTTTGTCTTTCAAATTTGATGAATTGATTACATCTTCTATAATCATATCAGTTTCTTCATAAAGCGTGTCTAGTTTTGCCTTCGCTTCTAGGGCTGAACGTGGATACACCTGCAATCCCATGGATTCAAGAATAGCTTTAAATTCTGACTCTAACTCTTCGCTCAACTGCACAAATTTTTCCTTTAGATCTTGGTTTAAATTAACTAGTTCAGACACCCCTGATTTTGCAATTTCACCTTTCACTGTCTCAATCTTTAGTTTTAGATCAGGCCGATCCATGACTTCTTTGAATCTCTTATCAATTTCCACTTTCAGTTTGTCTGTGTTGGTGCTCTTTTCTGACATATTCTGAGCATTGGATAATTCCTTCAACATATCAAGCTTATATTTCAGGCTGGAGTAATTAGGAGCAGATGGAAGATTCTTGTTAAATTCATCATTCAACAGTTCAATCTTTTCCTTCAATGCAGGTGTGAGCTGGTCTTTCAAATTTCTTGCTTTTGCAACTTCTTCTCGCAACATCACAATTTTGTCCTCCAAACCTACAGCTTTTACAGCTTCTTCATACTCGGAATCAATTTCTCTTTTCAACTTCTCTATCATCTCATTTAGACCCGGTTCTGGATGATCTGCAGACGCTTTTCCAGCTTTCTGAATCTGCTGTTTTAGCTTTTGAACTTCATCCCTCAACTCCACTTCTGAAGTCTTGGACAAAACTATGGTATCTTCTTTCTTTTTCATATTGACCTTCTTCTTTGGATCAATTGGAATTCCCTCTTGGAATCCACCAAGTTTACGGAACTTTTGAGCCCTATGTTTTAAAAGCTCTTCTGTGTCCATTTTTCCAAGTTCCTGCAGAAATCAGACGTGTTTTAAGCTTTTGATAAACACACACAATATTAGAGAAAAAGGTGTAGCTGCAACTCACATCCATTGATTCAACAATCGCAGTCTTTATCTGTTGTGAAGTCCAATATGAATCAGCATGTGCCCCGCCGAGAGGTTCCTAAAATGAGTCATAAATTCCAATTAATCATAAAAAGTTGTAAAAGTTTCGAGATGACATGAAACAAAATTTTCTACAGCAGAAGCAATGCAATAAGGTATAAAATGAAAAGAATATTCTTCTTGGATCACAAAGTCCTCATGAATCTCTAGTAACATACTTCTGATCTTAAACAAATGACATTTCACAGTCAAAACACATTTAAACATTTAGAAATGTTTTCAGCTTACAATTAGAGTAAGAAAGAATATTCAGGTATTGAGGTAGAGTTGTGGTAAACAAGATGCAATGAATAAAATGGGGAAAGAATATTACAGGGATGATGCCATCAGCAACTTCTAGCTTGCACAGTTCTTTAGCTGTTATCTTCAGCTTCTCAGCTGCCTGGAATGAGAGGGAAGTATATCAAGTCACAACAATTTTATCTCTTCTAGACAAAAAGTAATAGATCAGTCAAACCACCTTTGGAGAAGCTTTTGCACTCTTCCACAAGATTGCTGCACATGCCTCTGGACTGTGCCATGGAAATTGAATGTGAATAAGAAGTTAACAAGTAAACGAATGAAATTACATTATTTATTTTATTAAGGGAACAAAGATTTTTTCCAGAGTTTGAGAATATTATGATTGGGGAAGACTCATGCTATGTTTCGAATAATATTCAGCTAGAGAAGAGGTCTATCCCATTAATAATAAATCTTCATATTCAAAATAAAAAAGTGTATGCAGTTCTGCCTGTGAGATTATTTGTTAATTGCCTTAAATGGTAAATGAGTCAAATCATAATGATTTATCCAATTAAGTGTCAAGAGTTCACTAAGTTAATTTTTATTTGTTGGCCTCAATAGTTCTAGCTTATTCTACATTATGCGATAAAATATTTAGCTTACTACAATTCACCACCATACTGTCACTCGTTAATACCTTTTGGCTTGAGCATGTACATGTTTCCAAAACAAGGTAATGAATGGATGAGACAGAGAAGGTAACAACTACATGATCAGGAGGTTGGTACTGTGGATGCAATGAAGTGGATGGCTTTATCGCAAACATGCAATGAACTGTAAGAAATACGTATTATATATTTATTGTCAAGCTATTGCTATTTGCTTCTGATCAAAATGTGCACTCTAATAGACAATGACACTAACATACAATAGGATACCACTGAGCTCATTGGTCAAGGAGGATCAATGCTCGTGAAATCCCTGAAGGGGGACCACAGATAAACTTAATGTTGAGATGCCTAATGTTGAAATGGATGATAGAGTGACAATGCACTTGTATTAAAATTCATTCAGGAAACAATGAAATAGTGAACAGTATGAGTCTGTGTGCAGCATTTAACGAGTGCAAACAAGACTTCTCAATGAGGTAGTTGAAAGGATTTTTCTGTCAATAAAGGAATCGTCCACTATTGCAATTAAGGATTAAAGAAATTCATGAATATCATCCAAGAGGTATGTAGACCATCGGCATAACAAACAAGCCCCTTGAACAATGTAGGAGTAGAATAAAAATGCTGGTTGTCGGTGTAAAATCACCTGGCAACATAGAAGACTGCATTTTCAAGCATTAATAGTTTGTTTGCACAACCGATAGCCAGAGCTCCACCAGAGCCACCTTCTCCCATAACAATTGAGACAATTGGTACTTTCAGACCAAACATGGTCCTCAAGTTCTGAGCTATTGCTTCCCCCTACATACAGTAAAACAAATGATTAATTGCACAATGCAGTCACTCAGGAGAATTCCACAATTACCACACACATACTTGGCCAAGTTCCTCAGATTTAAGGTCAGCATATGCCCCTGGAGTGTCAATAAAAGTAATAATTGGAAATCCATGGTGATCTGCGTAGTACATCATGCGCAGTGCCTTCCGATAACTGTTGGATACAAAACATGCAATTTAGCACGGGATAAGTGCATTTCCTCACTTTAAAGCTTACTGCATTGTGGCAAAATGAAATTTTCCACAACATCAACAAATGCGTTAATGCACATGCAAAATGGTTATTCCTAAGCAACTAGGACCTAGTGGGTATTTTACAATATGTACACTTCATTTATTAGTTTTAAATATGACAAAAAATTTGTTTCCCAAATATATACCCATGGGGAGTAGGCATCCCAAAGTTACGCTGAATATTCTCCTTTGTATTCCGTCCCTTCTGATGGCCCATGAACATGTAACTCCTACCATTAATTGTACCAAGACCAGTGACCACAGCAGGATCATCGTATCCAGCCCTATCACCATGGAGCTCTACAAACTGGACAGTTGGAAATGAAAAGGTTTGTTATGATAATAGGAAGATCTTTCATCCTATCTTATGTAGTTTTCAACTAATAAAAAATTCTTGTTTACCTGAATAAAAATGACGACTATATGGAAATATAGAAGGTAATAACTAAAATTTTAAAGAACTATCATTGAAAATTGAATTTCAGACTAGAGAAGCTACCAAACCTTCTCAGTAATATTGAAGACATGATCAAGAAACGTTGGCCTATTAGGATGCCGAGCAATGTTCACACGCTGTATAGGAGTCAAATGCGTGTACAGATCTTTCAGGGCCTGCAATGAAACAAATTAAAATAAGCAAAGTCAAATATTCAGCCATGATAATATGAGAATTGAACTTAAAACTCGCATTTGTAAGTTCCAATATATGAAGATTATGTTCAGATAGAAGTCGGCACAAGGCACAGGCAGCGACTATTGTGCTTATGAAAGAAAAGTAAGATGGCAATGTAATTTAGAGGCACGTATGATTGGCTAAACCTGTTGATATTTGTTCTCTAGCGAGATAATTTGATCACTGAAGTCCAGCCCAGTTTCATTTGCCATTTTTTGTACCTGTAATTACACACACACACACACACACAAAAAAAGGAAAATCATATTTTCAGAACTAACAAGTTTCCATAAATAAACACATACTCAAATTTAAATGTTTCTTACATCAACAATTTTCTTCTGCAGATCCATAAGAGGCTTTTCAAAATCCAAGGTCACTGGCTTCGGCTTCTCTTTCAAAGGCTTGAAAGGTGAGAGATGACTGAGGACTCCACCCTTCACATTCAGATCAGGATCTTCCGGCCATGGATATTCGTGCTTTTTCAGTTTCCTAACCTTTGCAGAGATAGTAAAGTCTCTCCGTTTTACTCCTAGTTGGGTCCTTCCAAGTGCTTTTAGGGGTACACCACAAACAGAATTACTAGAACTCTTAAAAAGATCTGAAGCAGAGGGTTTGGAAGCCAAATTTCCAGTGAATGACACTGGAGATTGGGTCATTGAACCCATTTTCCACTTTTGCAAGCAGATTACTCAGCGTGAATCCTTTTTAAGGCAACAATAGGAAATGATTTAATGAGTAATTGAATTACCAAAAGAAAAAACAACGAGAGATAAGGAAGAACCATTAAAGGAAATTTAAGGTATAAGTTCAGATAATGAATTTTTATAGTAGCTGAGGCAAGCAGTAAGCATATATTACATATTGAAGATAGATATATCATTAAACACTAAAGAGAAATTATCAATCATCAGCTTCTTAATAAATATCTCAGCAATCAAGCCAAAATGATTAAATAAATAAACAGAGATACCACACATACAATGTAGCAAAGTTTGAGATTTGAGAAGATCAACATGATACATAAACCTCCGAAGTAGGGACAGAGAAGTGAAAAATAAAATGTCAGATTCTATCAAGGTTGCATTTAAACAGGAACAGCATAACAAAACAAGATTTGTGAAAACTCATAAAAGACATATCTTCTTTAACAAAATAAATTCACAACGAATTCAATACATTGCCAATCTTGTGGGATCATCTTGAACAATTTCCCAATTGAAGTCTAAAATTTAGCTTAACTACTGTATTTATAGATTTTTTGGCTAACTTAGATAGGATATTTCATAAGCAAAGCACATTCATATTCTCGTTTCTAATAATTTATAAGAATTTTCAGCTATTAAATCATAGCAATCAGCAGAATAGGACCAGCTGTCCGCATGCAGGAGATGTATGATTTTCACTCCGGAGACAAACAGATGAGTTAATGTAGTAATCAAATATATTCAGGATGAATGGAATTAGGAAAATAAAAAAATTAAGGAGTGAAACAACAACAGAAATTAATAGTCCATGAAACTCCAAGAAAACGGGAGAAAGAAATGGCTTGATTCTGCAAAAAACTTAGCTGGATTTTCCATTAAAAAGGATCATACTTTTGGTCAAAACAACATTCGTTAAAACAGTTTAGTCGAGGTAATGATAATAATAGGACTTTACCTAATTCAACCCAAGCAGTGCACACAGCTAATTAGAAAATGCTAATAGCATAAATACTCTAACACATAAATTCAGATTCCAATGAACAGAGCAAATGAATTCATGTGTCCAGCACCGTATTCCGATTATCAAATAATAACACACCTGCAAGCAGAGACAAATCAGAGAGATTCAAATCGGAATGGGCGATCTGGATTCGCAATTGAGGGAGGTGAAGTAGTGATGTGGCAGAGCAAATGTGCGTGGTGTGTGAGAGAGAGAAAGAAATTATGAAGGAAGAAGAGAGAGAAAGAGCATCGAGAAGATCGTCACAAAGAGTATAGTTTGTTCAAGCGCAATAGGGAAGAGAAATGCTTCTAATAATATTTTTCGATACTCTCTATGCTACAGATGAAGGAGAAACCTAACTCACTGTTTTAATGAGTTTGAGCCAGCCATCCTTTTCCGGCTTCACCGTTGAAACCAAAACGGGTCCGGACTTCTCAACCCTGAACCGGAACTGAGTGTCACGTGAGTATTTACATTTTCTGCGGCACGTGTCAATGCTCGATGGATTCTATGCTTGTCTTCCTAGGCTCCACGTTCACATTTCCGTGTCTAATTAATCAGTTCTTTCTTATTTTTCGGGAAAATATGAATTTTATATATTTTCAAGTCAATAACTTTTTATTCAATAGAATTAAATTTAATATACAAATAGATTTTTGAATTTGTAGAAGGTCTTCGAACAATTACCTTACAGGATAAAAATGGATTTCATTCTATTGTTTGTTATAAAGGAACCGATGAATAGAACGTCCAAAGTTCATGGCTTCTCAAAGAGTTGCAATTCTTTAAAAAAAATAATAATAATAAATAAATAAATAAAAATGGAGGAGTTGTTCTATGAAAAAAGAGTGCAAAGAGAAAGTGTATAACTATTAATACAAGAAACGCGACTTTTGTATCAAAAGTCCTATAAAATAAAAGACATATCTAAAGGATAGCAAACTATTTGAACCGCTTGTGGGCTCAGTTGAGACAAGTCATGGATCGAGATGAGCTTACTTTTTTCACAAGTCGGCTCGTTTGGGCTAGTGTACAGGCTCTTTCCCCCTCCCCCATATTTTTTTGCTTATTTTGAGTGTATTAAGAGTTAAGCCGACTTGACTTGATCCATTTCCATCCTAGACATAACATAATTCAACTTGTGAAATTGATTACAATTTCAACGTACCAACCTTTCTATTTTCCAGCAACTATTAAATCTTGGTGGAGACTGAAATGCATTTCTAATGAGATTAACAGTTTTAATTTTATTAAAAAAAGTAGTTCAAATTATTGATATGAGATTTATCCTTTAATAATTTCAAAATAATTACAATAAATAAATAATGAAGCATTAAATGCATATTAATTTGGATGTATTTAAGTCATTCTCGCCACACCCAAATAAAGTGGCATTCATTGCAATTCACTTTGTTAATGTGTCACCTCAACCACCTTCATTTATGAGAGATTGAAAAAAATACCTCGTCAACATCAACTTTCGAGATAATATAACTCTATATAGACTTACATTTCTTCTATTCAAGGGGATCAGCAAGGGCCTAACCTTTAGCCACATTGGTTTGGCCTCTGGAGATCGAAGCCTAACGCATTATGCTGGCTAAATCTGACACTTTGATCCACGTGCAATTTGATTGATGTGACATCTTTGCAAGGACGATTGAAAATCAAATGACCTATTTCTCATCTAGAACCCCGGGGCGATAGGTCTATGATGACTAGGATGTGAGGTTTTGACGCTTGATTTTTGAGCAGTTGAGATGATATTACATATCAAGCATCCAACAAATTTGAGCTTTGTAAAGATAATTGCAAATTGATATTTCTCACTGTAGAAAATCAAACTCTACTGGCAATTCCTTTTATTATGCGTTCGATCCATACCGATCTATTTGACCGTTTGTTGACTTGAACGCTTGAACTCGGTACACGTACAATCGCAGCCTCTTCTGCCTTTGTTTGGAGAAGTCTCGAACAACGTCTTTAATGTGGGTGTCCAAGTTGAGAAAATACGTATGAAGGGAAAAGGGGTGAAGATTTGTCGACGTGCTGAGTCCCATCCATACTATGAGGTCGACGGAATTGAAAAGCAATCAAGAAAGTAAAGTATTAAGCTGCGACTTGAGAACCACTAACCCCACATGTCAACCAAAATCCACTCAAACCCCACACAAACAGTCATACAATTTCAAGGCCAAGAAAACAAATGATGGATTAATAGCTTTACGGAACAAGCTTATCTTTGCTTCCTCATAAAGCATAGAAAGATCAAATAAATTATCTTCCAACCATTAAAATTGGTGTCTGGGTTCTGAGTTCTTTAAAATGGGTTCATCAAATAGGTTGTTTTCCAGGCAGAGAACTGTTCATCAGATCCTTGGAGGAGGACTTGGCAAGTCCGGCATCTGAAATGCTCGTTTTCTCAATTTTCAGATCGGTTTTTTCTTTTTCACTTCATCAACGTAATGTTTGTATTTACTGAAGTCGAGGATATCATAATCCATATATACTCGACAGTTATCTTATTGATTTAGTATTGCAAATTGCAATTCCCGCATAGTTTGTCCGTCTTTTTGTTCAACCTCTAGATCTAAAAATTTAAGAAATGATGCTAGACTTTCAATAAATATGTCTTGTGGACAACTTTTCATAAATAAGTGGCAGAATGACTTGAATATTGATACTGTGGTAATCCGTATTTTCCGAACCTTTATTTATTTAAATTTAATCTTCAACAATCTTTATGCCATTTAGATGGTAAGATGCAAGAAAAGAATCATTCTTTAAAAATTTATATTCTGTTACAAGAATATAATTTCAGAATAATATAAATTTTTTTTTATTATTTCAAGAACAGACAGAAAATTATTAAATTAACAGTTTATTATTTCAAAAAAACACAAATATGAATTAAGAATTGTACAAATGAAAAACCGCTAAACTATTTTAGAAAACCACGAGTATGAATTAAGAATTGCAGAAATACGTAATAGCTAAAAGGGAACATAATTTTGAAACTGAGGCATGTGTATTACACAGTGCGTTTAAAACAGATTCGCTCCCTCACTGTAAGGCCGTGTATTACACAGTGTCCTTACGAACGTCCATTTTTCAGGATACAATGGAAAAACAGTAGAATTTATGCACTACAGTTTCTACTTCGATGAACATAATCCCTATTAGAACGGAATCACCAAAAACTGGACAGGGAAAGAAAATTTTTGAAACGAGGTTGTAAACGTATGCAAACACAGTATGAAATTTTCTGGAATGGAATTATGAAAAATCGAGATCTGATATCCATGAGGGGCCAATTTTGGCCCATTCGATCCGACATTCGTGTGTACAGGCCGCGCTCGTACACAAATTCAAGATCCGAAGCTCTAATTCGGTCTTTGATTTGCATTCTCTGCTCACACACGTGGAGAGAGCTTCTATGCCACATTATAAAATGGTATTTGCCTTCATCACTTTCTTACGTGGGATAAAGTTAAATTCTTTTCCCTCCAACACATAAACCCATTTTAATTGGTACGCTTTGAACTCCAATTTTTCGTTCATCCAAGCATAACTTTTGACAAATAAATATATGATCTCGATGTTCACAAAGAAAAACACAAATCAACGTTGATCTTCCAAAATGAACCAATGAGTCCCACTCAAAATTGTGCCAAGGTTAGTTCGTCAAAGCCATTTTTTCCAACATGTTCTATTGAAACAGTTGCAGATGTGATGCTATGGAGGCGAAAAATCTGACAGCAGGAATTTTAGTAGTGACTTCCGCTGCTTGGGTGGTGTTTGAGATATCTGGTTACACTCTGCTCTCATTATCCTCAAGTGTGTTCTTGCTCCTCTTCACCATTCTTTTTCTTTGGGCAAGATCAGCAACAATTTTAAACAGTTTACACAGATTTTGCAGATTCTGTTTTCCTATTTAAGTCTGTGTTTATGTTAATTTACAATATGTTTAGATTGTGTGCACACTTGTCTCCTCGACTGTGAATTTTGTGAGTTATTTTAAGTTTGGAGATATATTGAGTATTATATGCATGTGTTAGGTTGACATAAAATTCCTACTTATATAAAGAACCTTACAGATGGCCATTTTCAATGAGAGACAGAGGCTGGGGCTTGAGATCCCATACTGATCTTTTTATTCAGAGTGAAAACGTTATTAGTTTTATATTGCTTTTGTATTTAAATTTTGGGTTTTAATTTCTAATATAGTATGCAACGAGAATGGACGGCAGAGTACTGTAATTCAATCTAACATTTGATTTGGAACAACCTGAACAAGGATAACTAGACAGAGACAAAACCAACTCGAATATGGGCCAGAATTCAGAGAAATACAGATGAAACTAAAAATCCTAAGCATGAGTGCTAAGTATTAGATGGGGCACGTATATTTATTAATTTTAGTTTTCAACAAACTGTTATAACTGTTTCTTGATTATTCAGTAAATGATTTAAAGCAGACCTCCTCCTACCACATTTCCATCTCTCAGAATAAGTGATAAATGAAGCAGCAACTCTCGTAATCACATGAATGTCTTTCCATCCGTTTTTGAGGATATTGCACTTGGTCGGGACTCAAAAATGTTCACTAAAGTTGTTTCAAGTCTTTTTCTGATATCTGTAATTGGGAGTGTCACTGATTTTCTCACACTGGGCTACACCAGTAAGTTTTATGGTCTCGGGATTTCAGTTTAAGATTATCAATTCCCTCTCGCGATACTTCTACAAAGCTATTCTATTCTCAGAGAAGGTATAGATGTAATGTTTCTTGGACTTAAACTAGTTTCTTCCTCGTATTGTGGCAGGCCTCTTTATTGTTCTTACAGTTCCTGCATTTTATGAAAGATATGAAGACCTTATTAAAACCCACAATCTAAAGAGCTACCAAAAACTGCAGCAGTTGTACATAAGATTCGATGCAGTGTTTACGAGCAAGATTCAGAAGTTGATTTTGGAGGCAAAGAAATTGAGTTGATGACCGTAATTTGTTTTCTACATATTCTTTTCTATTCGGCTCACACATTTTATTGGCGGGCTTTTGTCAATTTTGTGAACAGAATACCTTCATTTGTCTTAGCCCCATGGAATGCGAAAACAAGACAGTTATTCACTAAATAACATAACAGCAACAACGATAATTAAGGATACAGTTTTCAAAAAATTAAGGAAAATCCGAAAAGTTTCTGTTTCCATAAAATTTATTAATTCCTCTAGCGAGTTAGCATTATTAATTGCCAAAAAAAAAAAGAAAAGAAAAAAAAAAGAAAGAAAAATTGAGAGCCGACGATAATTTATTACCCCCAGATGGCGGCTGTTCTGATTATATTTAAGGATAACAATGTCCCAGAAATGGCCATGTGCTTTGTTCCTTTTGCTTTATGACGACTCTAATTTGCTAACAAACTTCTTAGCCTGCATTGAGAATTAGAAACAATGAGTTAATAAACCCCACAAGTAGTTGTGGGATGGCTACATTCTGTCAACATGTTTAATGTCAGTGAAAAATCCCGAAAAATTGAAAATTTTGTTATATGAATGACGATTACAGCAATTTCATACCTGCTCCAGCGTTAGAAACATGATTACATTCCAAGATCCTAGCCTTCCGAAATTAGGGATAAAGCCTTTATAGAAGGCTAGAGGTCCCTGCAAAGCATGAGATTCAACAATTTAAATGCATCTCAAAGCCAAACAAAATAGCAGAAACCCAGAATTTCATCATTAGTTCATATGGTGTTAATATGAACTCAAGTTCAAGCAATTTTATTTTATTTTTTCTTTTTCAGTCTCTCTGTCATCAGATACCAGTATTATTGCAAAAGAGGCCTCACTTGTTCAACAGAGACAATTCTTAAATGCTGATTTCAGCAGCCAGGAGTATGCAAAAGGAGAGTTGAGGTGGGAGAACAACAAAGACTGGTCAATTTTGAAAGTCAAAATAATGTAAGAAAATATTAATAGAAAAGAGTAAAAATCAAATTTCAAACAAGCCGCTAGAGTAATAGCTAACAACCAAGTTCGTTTTTAACGCACATTTTGCATGTTTGCAAAATTATATTTTGCAGCACCAAAATCTCAGGAGTTGTTTGAATCCAAGCATATCTTTCCAGATTCCAATAAACAAGTACTTCCTTGGCTTGACTGAATAGGGCTGCCCCACTTTTCAGTATTTGTAGGAAGAAAGAGTGAAGTGTAAGAAGGTCAGTTTTGAGAAGCAGTGAAAGGAACAAGAGATGGAATTTAGGAATGCAGTCACCTGCACAGTGGCTTTTAGGCTGGCTAAAGCAAGCCAGATGACAAGTTGTCGTGTCTATTTTCTCTGTATTTTATCTCCATGATATCAGGAGGACATAATTGCTCCAAGGAACACTTGATGTTTATCCACCTTAAAAGGTATTTTTTAAATATATTTTGTACAATGTGGAGATTCATGCAAAATCTAGGAAACCTGCATGGCAGTGCTTAGATGTAGTTCTTCCACCATACTAAGGGCCTGTTTGGGAGCGATTTTTCCTCCCAAAAAATTGATATTTTGACCATTTTTTCACTATTTCAGCTGTCATATTTGACTTCTTCTCTCACAGGTGGACCTCACTTTTCTCCTAACGGTCAAAAAATCAATTCTCAAAATCACTCCCAAACAAGCTCTAAGATATTTATGGTTGCCACAAAATTAAGGGTGAAATTTCCACCAATTCTAGGCACGCGCACACACAGACAAAAAAAAATAATAATAATAATAAATAAATAATAAATAAAAATTAAAAATAATATTCCTTTAGTTTGATATGTATTTGTTTTAATTATGCTCTTTTAATTGTTGGTTGCTGGTTGGTTAACTGGTCATATTTATTCTTAAAATTATTGTTTTCTTGAAATTATGTACAAATTTCTATTTCAGCTTATTAAACTTTTCTATTGAGGATCCCAAAAATTTGAGGGACGCTTAAGCTCTTTTACTCTTGAAATGGAGGCACCCATGCACATTACCAACATAGGTTATTACAAATGTGGGTTACATCATCGTTCAACAACAGAAATGACAACCTGAATCATGGGTCAAAAATAATAAAGCTGGGATTAAGAAAATAAACTTACATCATTCTTTAAAGTCTTGACAAAACAGTCAAGTGTACTTTTATATGCGGAATCTCCCATCATCCTCGACTTTACCTGCAGCAGAGAATTATTTGAGTTCAATTAGGCCACCAAGCTTCATTTCATGCATCAATATCTTGACTGAGTCATGATAGAGATTGAGAAGCCTAGCTACTACATCTCCATCTACCATCTCTTCCCTTTTTATTCAAACAGGAAAGAAAAAGCATCCACCAACAACAAAAAATCTAAACAGGAAAAAAGCTGTATATGAATAGGATACCACGTCAACTGGAGAACCTATGCAGACAGCAAAAAAACCGGCTCCTAAACCAGCTAAGAGATGCGTAAAAATATTGTCGGTGAAGCCAGGGATTTTCAGAACTGTCTGCATGACAGATATGGAAGAGTGATAAGTTAAGTTGAAAGTAGAACATAATACGTTAAAAAAATAAGAAGGCAGGGAATGCGATGATACACTTTATAGTGATCTCACCTCCTTCACTTGATCATAACTAGCTAATTCAGCAGCATTTATGATAGCATTACGTGCAATGTTGGGTCCAAGTCCAGTCCACAAAGCTGTAACTCCTTCCTAAAGTCCGAGAAAGTAAAACAAAGTGAGGGGAAAGAAGTCAATCCTCGGATATGCTCATTTTCCCAAGAGGAAGGAGGAATTGGCAAGAAAACATTACGAGATGCTACCTGTCTCACAATAGTAGAATATGCATTTACTGCTCCAGAATACCGCCTTGGCACACCAGGTGGCAATTTACCCTCAGCTTGAAGTCGAACTTTGACAAGATCAGTAGGATTGGCTACCGTAATTGCCACAGCACCTGTTTGATATAGAAGTGGCCAGTTAATATTGCGAAAGTATAAGGTTAGAAGAAGATTAAAACCATGTCTCCTTTAACTATATAAGATCCTACAGAAGTCCAGATTTAGATATTTGAAACCTCAAAAGAACTAGCATAAATTACTTCACTTTCTAAACATTTGAGATCAGAAATAAAAAACATTAAAACATCACCAAGAAGGTCTCACCAGTTGTGAGTGCAGCAAGTATCTTCTTAGATAACGGCACATCCCCAATGTGATCTTTGCCCACATAGAAGGTTTTAACCTGTCAACAATGCAAAAAGTCATTTTACAAAACCCAATGAAGTAAAAAGAACACATGTATTGGCTCACACAAATTCATGCAAAACATACGGGTTCATATAATCCAATCCTTAAACCTCCAAACAGACATTGACGATGTAATCCTGGCACGATGCCCTTCCATAATGCAGTTAAACCTTCTTCCCTTGCAATGGTGCCAACTGTACCCAACAATCCCCTATATTTTGGCAAAGCTACTCCATCCCCTGCAACAGCTTTCTTCTGCAACTGAAGCCTAACCTTGGCAGTATCCAATGGAATTGTACATAACTGCCCATTAAAAGCGCTGTATAAGTTAGGTGAGGTAGAAGCAATTTGCAGATTTAACTCCTGATAGAATGACTATAACATGTATATAAGACAACATCTCCAAAACTAGTTTACACGAGAAACAAGGATATCACCGTAGTTATGATAAAATGCACATAAAACAAACATATAAAGGTTTTTGGGCCCGTTTGTCATGGCTAAAAGTCAAAAACTATTTTTGAGACTAAAAAGTTGCTTTTAAATACATTTTGAATAATTTTATGTAAGTACTTTTTCTGGTAGAAGAGCTTAGAGGAAAGAAGCTCTTCCACAAGTAACGGAACCAAATGTTGAAGCCCTGCTAAACGGGCCTTTATCAAAGATCCAAAGTGAAAGTGTGTAGCAATGGCATTCCCAGCAGCAAGGCTGCCATTTTGTTTAACCTGGTCGCCGAAATTATTAATTGTGCTCATATGTATACATATGTGCACCGATCCGTATGTATATACACATCAACCTCATTACAAAAAGCGGATTCAAAAAGCAACTTCTACAAAGTTGTCAAGTTCTCAATCACAGAGAGCAGGCATTTTGTATCGGAGATTCAGAATTTAAAACTAAGTTATGCTTGTACTAAAGGGCATAGCAAAATCAAACTAATCAGAAGGTGAATCCAAATCAAATTAATCTACACGTGATTAAAAATCAAACCAACATCATCTGAAATCTCACCTACTCAATAATAATTGATCGTATAAGAACCAAAAACAATCGTGAAAACAAGCAGCTAATCTGAAGCGAAGCAAAGTTCAGACAGTTCAAAAACTGCTGAAAATTGAGATGTAAAATCGACTGTACCTCGGCGAAGCAAGTCGCGAAAGCACTACTAGCAAAAGTTCCGGCGAATGAAATGTCCGATTTGGCCTTGCCGTGATCCCCCATTAAACAAAACTTTTAAAAAATCACAAAGAGGAGGAGATTGTAGATGAAATGAGCAGGCTATATAGATAGAGGAGATTAATGAGGGAATTCGGCCAATTGGGCAATTGGTTTAAGCGTGAGGGAATCTCGGGAAAAGCGAAAAAGCAAGAAATATTACGCAATCGCAATTTCTGCAAATACACTTGGGTTGGGTGTGAATTCGCATCGTCAGCCATCACCTTTACGTGTACCACTTAGCCCATTATCTTCCCTTTCCAGTTTCACAATTTATCAAGTATAAAAGCAAAGCTTGCTTTAATATGTTTATTTCAACTGATATTTTATATTTTATTTATTTCCTTTCCTTTATCATTAGGTTTTTCCATGTTGTAAGTTTGTAAACAATTTTTATTTACTGAAAATTTCAACTATGGGTAATAATATTACTACTACAAATTTTATTAAGTGCACCACAATTTTTAGTATTTTTTCTTATTTACTCAAATAACTTTAAGTAAAATTACATAATTAGGATTTTAATATATTTTTTAATAAAATAAATTATTGTTTCACCACAAACATGAGTTGCTTCTTTCTTTTTCCTTAACATTTGAATGTGCATAGCTTTTCCCTGGAAGATGACTTTTGTTTTCTTCTACGATGGTAAAATAATTTCTTGTTCTCATGGTAAATGAATTTATACTCTATTTGATAATGATTTATTGATGAATTTCTTCAGTTTATTTGTCAAATTAAAATCAAGAATCAAACTCTATTTTCTTGATGCAGAGAAAATTCAAAGAGCACTTGTACACTTTGGAACTCTGAGCATAGTGGAAGAAAACAACCAAATATTTGGAAAGCCTTGGGTTCTGTAAAACATTCCATGAAGGAGGATTGAGTTTGAATCAAGCTGCTTCCGTGCATATGCAGGAAACAGTCAGTTTGTTCAGAATAGTTAATTACTTAATCAATGGAAGAATACCAATCCGTTGGTTAAATACCAAAGTGGTAAAGGCTTAGGAAGCATGTTGCACAACACAAATAAAGATCCAAGGCGGACAAGTCTTCATAAAGTTTTGAATAGTATTTTTTAAGGAAATATATAATTAAAAATTAAGAATTTTTTTTGGATTTATGTACAAAATATTTTATTACGTGAATGTGTGATTGAAAATGAGTATATAAATAAGGGAAATTTTTTTTAGAATAATGATTGTCAAACAGGGTTAGGTATTTACCATAAATATGAGAAGATGAATCTTGGAATTGTTGAGAAACTCAAAGAATACGGATTTAAATTGCTTATTTAGCTATTACTATCAATTACTTGAATCTTTCTATTTAACGTTGATTCTCGAAATGCTGAATTTCCAAAAAAAAAAAAAAAAAAAAAAAAAAAAAAAAAAAATTTAAAATTTCAAGAGATCATCATTTTTATATTATTTGCGTTGATGGTGCTAGTGGTGAATAGTGCAAGATGAAGACATGAGATGTGATTTTTTGTAGTGTTTAGATTTGAAAAAATTTAAGTGCGCCTTAACAAGGATTAAAACACTCTACAAGTATTTACACCGTCAACTACAAAGTAACATGATTACACAGATAAATCAACGATTAGCAAATTTAAAATTGGAGTGATGTGATATGAATATTAGACAATTTGTAATATGAATTACATACACGAGTATATCACGGGATGCAATAGGATCATCACAAGTTTTGTAAGTTACAATTTTGAAAAGTTACAAATACTGTAATGGAATAAACAGAGCACAAGTTATAATCGTTATAAAGAAATTACACACACCGTCTTTTGTCAATTTATTTTATCGAAAAAATTACATTCAAGTCAAAAATTAAATAAACTGTAATTGATGTGTTTATCTTAACCGCTGATTCATGTTATAATTTTGAAATATTTAACAAAGATCTCTATTTTCCAGTATAATCCCCCTTTTTTTCCCCCTTTTGTGTAAATTGTCCAAATAAAAGTAGTAGACTGGACAAGAGGACAATGGATATTACACAGAGGCCCAAGTGATGACAGAGGGTCACACAATTTTCTAAGACGAAATTACATCCATCCTTGTGTTTGTAACATGTCATTTCAAAATTTAGAATTTAAGTTCACACTTCCAAAAAGTAGGTGTTTATTACACCTCACCCCACCTATCATTGAATCCATTTATCTCCCTCAAAAACACCATTTCCACCATCGCAATCGAAAATGCACCTCTCTACTTTCACCCCCCATCTGCGGGCCACCACCACTCCCAACCCACCAAAAATTTGTAAAATACTGATGTTTTACCCTTTTCATTTTCCCATCGTAAAATATCATAATAAAACTCACTCCTCCTCTACTACCCTCCCCTATTAGTCAAAATCCTGAACTTCAGCAACTTATGTCCACTCCTCATCATCACCCGGATTGACTATCTCCTTGTAGAAGAAACTCGTCAATGAAAATGATCTTGAAAATTCTGTGCTACTGAAGAACTAGTAGGAGATAATAGTATGAGGACTAGTAGAAACATTGTTAAAGTTCAAGGTCTAAAAGGGTATTGTGGGAGGAGTTGGGGCTTCAATTGTAAAGGTTTCCTCGAATGGATCATTTGTGAATAAGGTTTGGTTTTGACCGTTGTTGTTTTAGTTAGGTGTCCACTATAAGAGGTTTCCTAGGTGGACCATCTACTAATGAGGTTTGGTTTGACTGTTGTTGTTTGAGTTGATGCATTAGGCATTCCCATTCTCATTCTCCTACGATGAAAAGGTAGTGTTGGGTTGGAGGTGAATGTGGTGGTGTTATGAACTGTGGATTTGAGGTGGTGGTGATAATTTTGATGGTATCGGCAATGATGGAGTGGGGTGTGTGAGTTGTTTTGATCACTGAATTAGGTAAATTTTAAGATTTATTGAAATGTGTGAATTGTGACTAATTATGTAATTGCAATCCTCAAATTGTGTCTTTTTACTGTGAACTTATGTGATTTGTGACTATGTAATCGTGACCATGAGTTTTGTGTTTATTTTGACCATAACCCATTTGTTTAAATATAGGTCACAAAATATGATTTAATTAATCTAAATGGAATTGGTTGTTAGAGAGACCTACCAAAGTGGAGTTAAAGTTGAAAATATCTATTATAAAGGTGGGTTAATTCCTTAAATGGCCACTGAACTTTTCATATAAAGTTTTCATAGGGTCATTGAACTTAAAAATTGTCCACGCCCAAGCAACTTGTCCACTTAGAATGCACCTTTGTGATTTGGCATCTTTTTAATACAATGATGTGCCACGTAAGCTATACCATTAGTCTTGTCATCAAACATTTCCAATTTTGTAAGCGTCGTTTATGCAGTGATAGACGGGGTACCAATTTAAAGTGAAGTGACTAACGGGTGCAATTTATAAGTTTAGTGACCCGGTGGGAAAAAAAAGTTCATTGACCATTTAAGCCAATTGAATGTCGTTGAGAAATGAATTGATGTTACAAAAGTCTAGCGAAAAATGGTCTCATTAAGTTGACATGGCCCTTTTTTGTATGACCTTTGGAAATCAAAAACCGCTTTTGAAATTAAATAATACTTTTGAATATGTTTGAATAATTTTTTAAAAATATTTTTTAGCAAGTTAGAAGAGAATTTTTTTTTTTTTTTTTTTTTTTTTAAATTGTTTTCTTCTACGATGGTAAAATAATTTCTTGTTCTCATGGTAAATGAATTTATACTCTATTTGATAATGATTTATTGATGAATTTCTTCAGTTTATTTGTCAAATTAAAATTAAGAATCAAACTCTATTTTCTTGATGCAGAGAAAATTCAAAGAGCACTTGTACACTTTGGAACTCTGAGCATAGTGGAAGAAAATTGGGTTCTTCGTTAAATACAAGAAAATCTGTTGCTTGGTTACGTTGATCCAGAGGACATATTCCACCTAGAAAAAAGAGTCCAGTTATGTCATAGCCATGCCATCATTAAAATTTAATTTTGATTTCATTGTAGGCTTCTAGTCTATCCTCCTTGCTAAAATGACAAATATAATGACATGGCATGTAAAATCTAAAACCCTTGTTTGAGTCACATTATTTTTCTTAAAATAAATTTTTAAACAGTGTATTGATGAAAAATGTGTAGTTAAAAATAATGAAAAGTTTTGAATGTTTGATATTATTTTATTGAAGAATATGTGGTTGAAATGATGTCAAATCACTATTTAAGAGTGTATTTTTTTTTAAAAAAATGTGGCTCAAACATGGCCTAATTTTCTTTTAACAAAGGTAATTTTATTGTCATCACAAATTTTGCCCTTCTTTGAGCTCGATTATAATTAATTTTTGAGAAAAATATATTTTGTAATAGGTATTTTTTAAAAAAAGTACATGGTTAAAGAAGAAAAAAGTTTTGAATTTACGTGTAATATTATTTTATTGAAGAGTGTGTAGTTGAAAAAAAGAGAGAAAAATATATTTTGAAAATAATGGAGCCCTAAAAAGGGGCTTCATATGTTCCTCCAATTTATTAATATGCACTAATTGGAAAATATTTTTGATAAATACACCACACTCATATTACAAATATAGCCCTAAATTCATTAAAATTAAAATAAATGGTAGAACATTGCAAATTTGCAATCCCTTAACATAATAAGGCTATGTTTAAGCCCTATCTGGTGTAAAAAAATGAGTTGGATAATAATGATTCTTTAAACAGCATGTGGTTAAAAATTATAGAAAAAATTTTGTATTTACGTATAAATTATTTTATTAAAAGAACGTAT